AAGTGAAGACAGGAAAAAAAAATCCTACCAATAAAACTGACTTCCGTGAATCAAGGATTCAGTAAGTCAAAGTAGTCCACCAAGTGTAAAGCGCTCGGATGTGTATTTCCAAAAGCAATAGAAAAATCTCTCTACTGGTGAACAACATTTTTTCTAGGTCAGCACTCAGCAGGAGACTTTGCAAGTAGGTATTTTTATTAAGGATTATAACTGCATGGATGCATAGCTGTCTTTCTAGCTTGAAACATTAGTGGAGAGACGATGAAGTAAAAAGAGAAGCAGATGGCACTGCAGCAAACTTGGGTGAGATGGTTTCAGGCATAAGTGTAACGCACACACACACGTACCTGCCAGTAGTCCTATGAGAAGCATTACAACCCATCCTGACCAGGCATCCAGCAAACTCTTGATGAACTCCCATATGGATTCCTTACTTTTGCTTGTAATCTGAAATTAAACATATATATAGACACATTGCTGATTCAGGCTGATGCAGTTTCAGTGTATAATGTTTAAAACAAAAAATATTTAACCTCCTAGAAGATGTATACAATTTCTCTACTCTCTACTGCCCCCAATCGCATCATTTTTTAGGGATGCTCTGCTGATTAAGATGCCGGAGGCCCTTTCATGTTTACAAACTCAAGACATACCACATCCATATTTTTAGAAGTCCTCCCCAGGTCATACAACAAGGTAGGAAGTAATAACCTCAGAAAACTGCTTGTTTTTCGCACCACCGGGATGGCTGTAACCCAGGGACTGCGATGCATCAAAGCTGGAGACCTTTACCTTTCTATGGCGATCAGTGTCGCGAGATTTCTCCCGCAGCCAGTCGATGGTGTGGAAATCTTCATAAGTTCCAACATCGGGGAAAGGTTCATCCAGAAAATCCATCAGGTTGCCAGAACCATTCATGTCTCCTGCATTGACCATACTAGGGTCTGTATGTAGAGGAAAAACAAGTATGTCAATAAATTCATGCAGCTTTCCCAGACATTTCAGAATCAAGTTTTCCAAAATACCTCCACAAACAACAACATCAAGAAAGCACGAGTCAACAGTCCTGGTGGGCACTTACTGAAATCTATGCATTGCCACTAGAAAAAGTATTTTGCTGAAGACTACTTCAATAGCTCAGAAAACCCTAAAAAGCACATACAAAAGGAACAGTGTCCAAGCGCAGAAATACCAGCTTTCCTGAAAACCAAACCCCAAAACATGGGATGGTTCTAGGCTGCTTCTGCAGTGATACATCCTGATCACATGCCAGAAGAAGTGCCTTGCCTGCGTGGACATCATCGAGTAGGCAAGGTCACCAGCTCAGAAAACAAATGATAATACACTAGAATTTACTGTTCATCATGAACTGCAGATTTCAGATGGCACCATTAGTCATAACACTGCAGTGTCGTCTAGTTTTGCGTGCTCAAAGCTCCCCATATCGGTCCACCGCTCAGAATGCAAAACTCGAGATCACAGTATGTCTACTCTGCATCAGGTCTGGAAATGCAGGATCTTCTTCAAGTTTTCTTCTCAACGGCTAGGAGCAGAACTATTCTTGGGTGAACTTGAGTGGTTACCTTCTGTCCCATATACAAACTTTCCAAATTTGCTTTTAGAAAAGCAGGGGGAGAAACAGCCATCACATGTCCTGCTACAGCACAAGAGGAAATATAAAGATACCTACCCCCAAACTATAAAAAGTAGTTACCAGAGGCATTTGATAGTTAAAAAGGATATCGAAGTAGTCTGTGAAATAATATACACTCTAGAGTGTGGCACACAGGCTGAGTGAACATTTTCAGCCCACAGGCTTTTGGGGACGTGCTCTCTGAGTTTACAGTCTACAAATACAAAAGCAGAGAAACATCAATGCCCGTTGCTCTGAAGCCCTGGAAACTATACCTTGGTTCATGCAATCCACACAAGCAAAGAGTGAAGAAGTTAACTCATAACCACCATACCTCTCTTTCCCACAGAAAGCTCAGCAACATCTGGCTAGGTGCAAAAATGACTATTATCTCCTTTAAAGGTCAGGTCCCAAAGTAGTCACTAACATGACAAGCTCCAGGAATGGTTGACATCACTCCCGATGAGAGGAGCCTTTAGTAGCATGAGAATCTATTAAATGAAGTAGTTTAGGCACACAGGGTTGGATTCATCCAACCTAACATCAGCCATCCGAAAGTTTGGTGTCTGGACTGTGAGAACCACCTAGGCTGCCTCTAGGGACAGAGAAAGGTGTGTGTAAGGGTGTGCGTCAGGAGAGTGTCTGGTCCTTTAAAGGTATCTGGTCACAGACCTTTTTCAATGCAACAAGGGATAATAAGCAAAGGAGAAAGCCTGAACAAGAACATATAGGGACACAAACCTGATGCAAATGAGAAGGGAGGCAATGGTGGGAACTAAACCTGGTCGGTCACACTCACATGGGAGTGTGAGAATGTCTATTCCAGCGAGGTTGTCTGATCGGGGACCTTGTCAACTGGGAAACTATGGGGAAAAAGAGGGGAAACCTGAAACAAAATGTATAGAGAAACAGACCTGACAAAGCAAACATGGAGACCATGACAAGAAACAAATCTCACCACTCACACTAATTGAAGGGCTATTAATTGTGTGCATGCCTCTGGGACACACGCTCAGCTTTGCTGCTGGTTGAACCTGCGCATGGGAAAGTGGCAGCCGTGTCCCCCAGCGTGGCCAGAGACCCTGGGTCCGTGTGCTGGGCTCCGGCAGCTGGGCAGGAGGGTCCTGGGCCAGGGCAGCTGGAAGAGGTGGGCTGAGTGCTTCTATGTGTTGCTCTAAAGAGCGATTAATCTCATCCATCCTAAAATAGGTGCCTGGGAAAAGGGGTCTTCCAGAGAGTACCTGGGGGTTGTAATCTGAAATGGCAAGCCTTAAAAAAAAAAAAAAAAAAAAAGGCAGCTAACAGGAGGTTACAAGAAAAAAATACCACATGAAAACACATAAGGAAAAATGGGGTTTTATAGAACTGACCCTGCAGAGCCTGTAGCTCGTTGACAGACACAAGATAACTTTCGCAGGTCACTGATGAGGCTAGCACAGTACTAATGACTGCTACCCACCTTCTTCCATCAGGTACAGAAACAGGGATTTCATGAGTACAGAATTTGGATCTTTGAATCTGTGAGGAAAGTTCCCAGTTCTATAATTGGAACAGTCAAACATACAGCAGATAAGCTTTTAATCAACTCTCCAGACACCCTGCTGCTCTGCTCAGCCCACTTTATGTATTGCCTTCCCCCCCGCTCCCCCCTCCATTTACAACTGTTTTACTTGAATCGTCTCCATTTAATTTTTTTCCCTAGTGGTGTCTTTAGGGATGCAACAAGTGTGAATACTCAGCTTTGTCAGTATCCGCTCTTTGCACTCCACCAGTAGGACTTTTTGGACAACACAGACAATGTGCTCAACGCAAGCAGCTGACAAAAGCATTATCTTAGAGGCAACCAGCAGGTCACCATTATAATTCTATAGAAGCACTTTTAAGTGCGGAAATCAAGTAATCTCCAAGCACCATGGCATGTTTGTCTGCAAGAGAATCAAGCAAGGGGGTCACAGCCTGGGGAAGAAAACCAAATGCAGAGCAGGTGTCCCACACAGCGCTGCTGAGCACAAATAAGCTGTCAGAGGATTGAGGCGATTTAAAAAGCAGCAGTTCAGAGGAGTGACAATTGTGAATAGCAACACCTAGCCAGAGGAGAGCACGCTCCTACATTTGCTGAGGGAAATGAGAGTCTGAAGGTGGGATGCTGTGGCTGACACCAGGGAGCTGTAGTTGCAAGTGGACCTTGAGTGCAGTGTCTTGTAAACCATGACCGGGGCCTGGAACGGGAAGCTGAAATGACGTGAAAGGATTGGACTGTGCTATTATTTTGTAATGCTGTGATATTCTGCAGATCATTTACTTCAACCTATTATTTCCATACAGTGAAGAAGGGCCTGTAAAGAACACGCAGTTCAGACTCCTTGACTGCACGATGCAGCCTTCCCTGCTGCAAAGAGTTGCTGTCAACAGCTCAATGTCCAAGTGGTGAGCGGTGACAAGTGGTATTCCTCAGGGGTCAGTACTGGGACCAGTGCTGTTTAACATCTTGGCTGGCAACATGGACAGTGGAATTGAGTGCACCCTCAGCAAGTTTGCTGACAACACCAAGCTATGTGGTGCAGTCAACACACTGGAGGGGAGGGATGCCATCCAGAGGGACCTGGACAAACTTGAAAGGTGAGTCTGTGTGACCCTCATGAAGTTCAACAAGGCTAAGTGCAAGGTCCTACACCTGGGTCGGGGCAATCCCAAGCACAAATACAGGCTGGACGGAGAACGGACTGAGAGCAGCCCTGAGGAGGACATGGGGGTATTGGTTGATAAGAAGCTCAACATGAGTCGGTAACGTGCGCTCGCAGATCAGAAAGCCAATCATATCCTGGGCTGCATCAAAAGAAGCATGGCCAGCAGGTTGAGGGAGGTGATTCTGCCCCTCTACTCTGCTCTGGTGGGACCCCACCTGGAGTAATGTGTCCAGCTCTGGGGTCTCCAACATAAGAATATTTACCTGGTGGAGCAAGTCCAGAGAAGGACCACAAAGATGATCAGAGGGCTGGAGAACCTCTCCTATGAATACAGGCTGAGAAAGTTGGGGTTGTTCAGCCTGGAGAAGAGAAAGCTCTGGGGAGACCTTATTGCAGCCTTCCACTGTCTGAAGGGGGCCTACACAAAAGCTGGGGAAGGACTCTTTATCAGGGAGTGTAGTGACTGGATGAGGCGGAACCATTTTAAACTGAAAGAAGGTAGATTTAGATTAGATATTAGGAAGAAACTTTTCAATATGTGGGTGGTGAGACACTGGAACAGGTTGCCCAGGGAAGCTGTGGATGCCCCATCCCTGGAATGTCCAAGGCCAGTTTGGATGAGGCTTTGAGTAACCCAATTTAGTGGAGGGTTGGAACTAGATGATCTTTAAGATCTCTTCCAGCCTAAACTGTTCTATGATTCTATGATATAAAGAAACTTCTGGGAACTCTTATGCTGAAAGCATTGGCAAGTTTTCCTTACTGCTACAAGAAAACTACCCAACATGCTAATTATATCACATAAAAAATAGCTTTTAAAGTGTGTTGTCAATGCCCAGCACATGACAGTATTGTGATGGATAATACCAGGCCAGACCACAAGTATGTAGGATAATTACAATCTCAGCCTGAATCTACCCCAAAAATACGTGCTACACAACACATCCAGGGAGAGAAAAATGTACGAGAGACCACAGGGCCATGGAAGACTATGAAAACAAACAAACTTTGAACTCTAGGTAGCATAGCAATACCTTGAAATTGCAGCAAACCGGGTGATTACCAGGCTTAAAGTTCAATTCAGGTACTACGCTTTTGAAAGCAGAGATGTGATATCAGATTATGCAAAACTCAGTTTTAGTAAATACAACCTTGCTGCAGCACTTTTGAACTGAGTACTACAGAGTTCCCATCTTACATCCTAACTCTACGCACCATAAGCATCACTTTCTGTCTCTTTATTTTGCATTTATTTATTTTGCCTTACTTCAGTATCTGAAATAATCTCCAAAGTTTATTTCAGGATGAGCTAGCTTGCCCTCTTAGTGATGCTTGCAGACATGCTTCCAGTTCTGCCAGCAGAACTGGACACTTACACAAATAATTCAGTTATAGACATTTTAATCTAATACATATAAGTTAAGGGCAAATTAACCTTATCCAAACATGAATTGTAGCCAGGTGTACTGCAGCAACCCACTCTGGTGATAGCAAAAATATGAGCATTCATGGTGCGAGTTGTCTCACCTAGCATGACAAATCTGCATAAGATTCTGGACACTAAAACCTAGACTCCTTTCATAGCTGATGAGGGGAAGTAAACTCTGTTCAGATGC